TCTCTCTCTCTCTCTCTCTCTCTCTCTCTCTCTCTCTCTCTCTCTCTCTCTCTCTCTCTCTCTCTCTCTCATTACCGATGTTTCACAGGAAAAGATGAATGTGATCGTTATCATTGATGCTGCCTATGAAAACGCTGCTAACGATGTTAAGTCCTTGCTGAAGATTTCAAAGACCAGATCAGTGGGCGTCATGGTAGGGCATCTGCTTCAAGACCTTTACGAAAGTGCAGGAGCGTCACCCGAGGTAAGAGCATTGTAGGCTACCTTAACTGTGGGTGGTTGGCGGGTACTCTGGTGTGGTTTCTTTGTTTTTTCCTATCAAACGTCGGCATTTACATGACCTTATTATGTTTCAAGAGCCGGAACCCCTTACTAAATCTAAACGACTGCTTTGACTTTTTGGCTGGCGTCGGTTGCCTAATGGTTAGGCTGCCGAACTCTTAATCGAGCTCGGTCCGACGTTGTGTCCTTGGGAAAAGCATTTTACACGAATTTCCCTCTTGGCTCGTTCCTTCCGGAGGTCCTGTCTCTTAAATAACCTAATAGTGTTGATAGGAGTGTTAAACCTATACCATTTCATCTTTTGTTTTCACCCGAGGTAAGAGCACAGTAGACTTCTTTAACTGTGAGTGGTTGGTAGATACTCTAGTGTGGCTTGTTCGTTCTTTCCTATCAAACGTCTATCACGTCATCTTGATCTCTTCTTCTTTTTGTGTTTGGTACTCTCTTGCAACACCTCTAATCTTAGGCAAATCTGCTTCCTCATCATCCGCTGTCAAATAGCCCTTGTCCAGCAATGAGATCAGAGAGCTAACTCCCCAATCTTTCCATTGTTCCAGAAATTCCATTTGATCGCACACAGTCTCGGATCTCACGTCATGGGTTATGCTGGGGTGGAGTTTCGGCGCTTGACTGGTGCCAACGTTGGAAGAATTACTGGTGAGCGCATTCGAAGATATCCAACTATCAATTATTTTATCATAATGTATTACCTTGTGATTTTGGGGTTGGAGGGAGGAGGGGGGGGATGGAAGAATCCCTCTATTCACTGACAGAAGGTACAAGGCTTTTAGTAGCTGAATATCCATGGGCCTATTAGATGGACATTTGTAATAATATCTGATTTGGTGTGTCATTTCTGCATTGTTTCTCCCTGCATTCTTTCCTTAGTTTCTGCCTCTTCAGTTATCATCTTTCGTAACAAAGTGAGAATGGTTGGTGGCCGCTCTGGTGTGGTTTGCTCCTTCTTTTCTATCAAACTTTACGTCTGTGGTCCTGATCTCTCCTCTGTTTTGTGTATGTTACTCTTATAACACCTCTAATCTCCGGCTCTTACATGACCTTGTTGTGTTGCAAGTGCCGTAAAACTCTTACTAAAGCTCAGAGCAAAGTGCCTACTTCACCTTAAAGCTATTTGCCTTGTAGAAGAGCAACGCGTCGTAAGCAACCCCCCCC